CAAGAGAAAAAAGTGAGCTATTCTGGGGTAAGCACATGCACCTCCCCAGCTATCCAGGGAGAAAACCTGGCTCTTTGAAATTAACATGGATGACTGTAGCAGCCTGGTTACTCTGCACATTCAGTTCAGCTATCCAAAAGGAGCAGATGTTTTCCAAAGGTAAATGCATGGCCTAGTTCTAAACTCTACAGCCTGGCATTAACTGGCATGCTCCCTCTTCCATGCTTCACCAGATTAGCATGTGCATATAGCCCTCACAAATCAAGATGAGCTTTAAAAACAGTGTGCTTGCACGTAAATCCTCATGAGGTGTTTGGCTGTTTTGCTAGCATCAAAAAAACATTCTGAGCTACCTCACGCTTCCCTATGCTGCTAAGGTCCTGGCATCCAGCTGCACAATAACTTGTCTTTAGAAGAAGTTCTTGGAGAAGGACACAATAATCCAAGACTGGTGTAATCCTACCAAATACTGTTTCATCCGAAATAGACATCCAGGCAGTTCAAAACAGCTCGCAGTCAAGCCCTTGAAAACATCACAGCAATTGGAACAGCTAAATCGTGTCTGCCCACAGGAGAGAAGGCTTGTATTGCTGGGAGAAAATTATCTTCCTCTATGCAGTTATCTGGTCCTCTCCCATCTTGCTGCTTATCATGGCAGTTACTGCAGTGAAAAAAAAAGGAAGCAGTTTTTTTCAATTGCGTATTAATGTAGTTAGATTGGCTGGTTCCTACATGCATCAAGACAGATGCGGGTAGCTTTACAGCCAGAAGATCCAACAGTCATCGGGTTTGTGCTTTTGTTTCTAGAAGGCCTAAGAAGCAACAATATTATCACAGTGTATATTACTCTGAGGCCTTTAAATTCCTTCTGCCCATCAAGAAGGTTATGGAATTAAGATTTACTAATTTAAGATTTATTTTGAGATTTAAGATTAAGAGATTTGGGATTTAGGATTTATTTTGAACTAGAATTCCCCCTGCTACGTACCAGGATAACACACAACGTTTTATAACGTAAATTTATAATTCTCCAGATGGAGACTCATCACAACCGGTAAGTGGAGGTAGGTACCTTGTTCAGAATTAGATGACTCTATTTATCAACCTCAACTTGTTGAAACATTCCAGGAGCACCCACCTGATAAAACCTGTGACACAATCAAGTGACGGGTGACTTTCACAACAGAGGGGAAAAATGAACGAAGCAGGGAAGCAGAGGACTAAGGACAAGTATACCAAACAGTTAACTTCTGTACTTAGTAATGTGCTAGTGAATCACATAATGGGAAAGGATTTAAGCAAGAACTAAACAAGCTACCATCAAAATCTCACCATTCAAGGCCTGACCCTCCCTGCAAGGAATGCTGTTGGGCTTTAAATAGTTATATGGTCACGGAATGTGGTGGGCTTAGGTTTTCTACACGTTTTCAGAATGCTGGAATAAAAAGCAAAGAAAAAAACGTTTTACATTCCTAAAATACTTTTTATATTAAGACTTAGAATGCTTGAGAACATAAGGGAGCAAGATGTTAAAGCAACATCACCGCAAGTTTGTCACCATTTTCTTCAGGAAAAATCTTGTTTAACTGTTTGTAAATTAATCTGCATTTGGACATAGAGTTCATTCACTTTGGATTCTAATAGTTAATGATTATGATCTTTCTGGTATACAACTATATGACATGCACATTTTGAAGTTACTGTCAATTTGTAAGTCTTTACTGCTGAAATTTAGAAAGTGAACTAACAGCTGGGGATGTAAAGAGGATGTCTAAATGCAGACCTTATTTTACAGCAAGGTCTCGTTTTTCTGGATTACAAGACAATGTTCTGCTTTTGCACAAGGTAGGCTATGTTTCTAAAGCAGTATATGAAAAGTGATAATATTCAGTATCAGAGAGAGAGAGAGGCTTGAAAAATCACAGAGCAACCCAACATTCTGTTAACATTAATTTTATAAAATACCTTACAAGAACAGATAAAGAACTTGAGCTTACATAATAACCAGAATTGAAAAATAATGTTGAATAAAATATAAATTAATTGAACACATCACTAAGTTTGCCACATGTTAGACAAGTTTATAAAAGGCATTTTCAGATAAAATAGTTATTTGGAAGAAAATCCTTCAAAATGGAAACTACTGAAGTCCTTTTTCAAGAAGTCATTCCTAAAGCACTAAATTCCAGATCAACAGGCAGTACCTGAATCTGCTTAAAATACACTGTTTATACGCTTCCAAATTTGTCAAGCTTTAAGACAAAAATTTAAATGCTTTCAGGTAAGAGCAGTCAGTGCAAAGTAAAGGTTCAAGCTGAAAATTTGAGAAATGTAACTGAAAAAAAAGATCCTGGTATAAAACTTCCTAAATTCACATTATGAAAAAATCTATGCCAGATGCACTGTTCAGATATGAAACATTAACAGATTTTACCAGTGGCCATTTTAGGGTTCCAGCCAAGCCATTAACATATTCAATTCATTTATTTTAGCATAATTTCATTTTTTTCCTACTTAAGAGTCTTTGGAAAGGATCCATGCTGCTGATGTTCACTTATTTTGCTCAACTTCTGATTCAGCCAATTTGCTTAAAATGCAGTAATTTAGCCAGGATGAGATAAAAGGTGAGGCTGACAGACATCAGAACGATGGTCTAAAGCCGGTACTGACATTTAATTGGAGGAAATATGCCTGTAGCCTTCATCATGATAGCAAACACGTTTCTGAGTTTAACCAACTTTGATTATCCAAGAAATCTCACTAAAGTCAGTCTTGCTTAAAGTTGTATATTTGCGTTACACATTGCCAGGCTCAGACCTTTAGTCTTTAAAAGGTTAAAATATTTTTCAGACAACTAGACTGTGCCCAGATTAATTTTTTTAAAGCCCATTAATTCCTGCATAGTAAACATCAACACTCTAGCAAAGCAATTTCTTTCTGTTTCACTTTAAATCTATTAACCAAAAGAGCTTTGAAACAGCCTTCACTTTCCACTATTTAAAAGTGTGATGATTACACTCATTTGAAGATTCATGCAACTCTTACAGTTACCACTGAGGATATTGTTCATCAAGTTTTTTAAGTAGATAGGAAAAAAATGTATGTTGCTGGTGGTCACAATCAGAAAGGAGAAGCAAATAATTTAAAAACCTTAATCTATCAGGCAACAGTTCCAGCTTCTAATTGAAACATAGGGGTATCATTTATACTAAGCTGTAGCATAAAACTGAGAAAATGAGAGATGATATGGCAGTGTTACCCATTAAAATACAAAATTTCAAAATTCAATCTGTAGGTGGTTTGCTTGTCCTTGTATAGCATTCTTTTTTTACTGTCATCATTGCTAGGCTGCCAGTTATGCTAGAACCACACTTAAGTAATTCCAGTACAACCTCAGTGTTTAATAGTATGCATCATTCTGAATTTCTAGTTAGCTAAAATGCTACAGTTCTATCAATATGATGCAGTAAGCAAACCAAATGAACATAAGAATTCAAGACAGCATCAAACTTTCCACTAAAACAGGAGAGAAAGACTTCCTCAAACCAGAATATAACTTCAATCAAAACTTTTTGGAAGCTGTGCACAAAGAATGAACATAAAAAGGAAGTTGCAAATGCCCTTTTCTAGAACAAACTCCGAATAATTTGCTTAAATCAAAATGGAACAGAAACTCTTTCCTATGGCCTGAATTCTCCTCCTCATCTTTTATCACTGGACCAAAGCAGATTAATGATAGACATACTATGCTTTGCATTGCTGTGAAATAATTTATTTAATTTTTAAGAATAAGCTTTTTGATGAAGTGATGGACTTTGAGATATAACAGCAATTTCTGCTGGGTGCTCTCAGTTACTTTGAATCCTATACTTCAGATATTTGCTGTCTTTACATCTTTAAAAGAAATACAGGGTGAGATCTCAGCAGCCAATGCAAGTGGTGTAACTTTAATCACTTGCTATGAGTGAAGGAGAAAACTGACAGCTGAAAGGGAATAATAAATACATATCTCATACTCACTTTCGCACAATGTGAAAGCTTTCAGATGCTGGTCACATTTTAAAATGGGGAAACTATCTGGTTTATCTTTTGCAAAAGTAATAAAGGAAAAGATGATTTCAAAGTTTCATATAAAAACAGGAAAGCAGCAATTACAAGAATTATTCTGAAAATATCTGGACCCTTAACTTTTGAGTGTATGAAAAATAGGCTTAAAATTAGAAAAAAATTTAATTTGGCTTGCATTAATGTGGGCTTTAAAATAAAACCTCAGAGCCTCACTAGCCATCTACAGCAAAGAAATATGTTTCCAACTAAGCAGCTGGAAAGTGAATGAGTGAATTTGGGTATTAAACATATACGCAAGCACAATAATGTGTACAGAGGAGATTACTACAGAGCTTTGCAAAAAATATTGCTACAGTAGCATTAGGACAGTGCATCAAAGATTTAAAGTTTCCATGTTAATATGAACTGATCCAAGCCATAATGAACAACAGGATAATCACTCAAACAAAAAATTAACCAAATTCCTCTTCACAGAAGCTAGAACTGGAATTTACCTGAATACCATTAGAAAGATTCCTTCTAGTCTGGCATGCCTCAGAATACATAAGACTTGGAGAACTAGTGCCCTTAGTGTGTAATCTAAACATAGTATCATCATGTGCATTTGGCTTTTTTGAACGTTTGCAATCAAATAACCAAATTTTCAAGAGCTTTTACATATCATGACATTGTATCACAACTGCATGAAGTGTTTTATTTGTAGGTTGGGACCTCTTGTTTGCTCTTAATTGTGGAAACCGTAGATAAAAGACCTTGAGGACTACAGGTCATGGAATTCATGTTAAACAGAAAGCTGCCCAACATTACTGTCAAAATACCTTTAAAAAGGCAGTTCACAGACAGAATAACGCATTTTTACATTCAGATTTTTCCTCTCTCAAAAGCAAAGGAATCTCAGAAGAAAAAAAAAAATCAGTAGTGAAGGCCACATACTTTTTGCATTTGTTTGATGAGCTGAAACGCAAAAAACAAAGCATCTTGTAAGAGAAAAAAAAAAAAAACAGATACAGAGCTTCTAGAAAGTGATGATTTAGTTGATGGGGTGGTCAGCATGGAAATTGTTGTGAATGCTACAGCAGAACTGACCATAAGTACAAGGGAATATGAACAGAAACACAGTACAGGCGTCATCTAGAAAACTGTAACTTGCCAACTTGTAAACAAGAAAAAGCATTTCACAGATTAAAAGTTCTAGGGAAGTAAACTTCTTTAAATTATTTTGTCAGTTCAACCCTGATTTAAAAAAGTATGGCTAGCAAAAATACATAAGCCTCAGCATATTTATAAGTCTTGATCAGAGCAGCCATGATTCTTTGATAAACTGCTGGAAATAGATACCCTCCTATTAACGATGAGAGAAAAACATTCCCTTTCTCTTCTTTCTCTCATTCCCCAATCCGCACACGTATATGTAGAATTCACATGCTCCTAGAAAATCTTCATGCTGCTATAGATTGAGACGTGGGGAGACTGGTGGAGGAAAGCAGACAAACTCTCTTAAAATACTACGGGCCACATCAACATTATTCTGGGCTATTTCAAGTGCCCTCTTGACTTCTTCAAAGGAATAGCCCTCTCCCATAAGTTTTGCAATTTTTGCATCCACATTTTCCGTGGAATTGTCAGAGCTGTACGCTTTCCTGTGGTGCAGTTCTGGTGCAGTCCTCCGAGGAAGTGGTTTAGGGGGCCTGGCTGGTGCTTGTGAACCATCTGTTTAAAATAAAGGAGATGGATAGAAATCATTACGAAATGGCTTAAAAACTGTATTACACGTAGGTCCAGCCTCAAGTTAGTTAGCCTCAAGAAGCAGCTTAAAAAGTGACATTCTAAAGAAACGTGAATCTTAATTTGCTGATCTATAGCATTTTAAAATTCTGAGAGAAGCTGGGACCCTCAAGAAAATCCAAAATAGAAAGAACGTAGTGAAATGCTACGTTAATTAATACGATAACAACATGCAAGTACAAGCTACAGTCTGAGTTATCCAAAGCTGGAAGGAAAAGAAAGCATGATGAAGGAGCAAAGATGGTGGTAATTGGAAAGGATTTCCACTCTCAATCTACAGTTTGAGGACTTCTTGTTCCTAGACTGTTTTAAAGACCCCAAATTTGGTCACACTTTTATTCAGGAAATTAAACAGGTCTGCAAGTTGTGCAGATGAGGAATCCAACCAAATATGCCTGAAGGAGAAAAACTGTTTGCTTAATCGTACATCATGCAGGTTCTGTTCAGTCACTTGTAGCTCATTTCATGCATACCAAGTATGCAGCAGTACAGAAACAACTGGTTTCTCCAAAAAACCTTCTAGTCCCATTAATTTCCATGGTGAGACCAGAATATGATCCTTTCACCTCCCTCATCCCCCTCTGGAAATATCTCTTTTCGCTCTTCTCTACCAAATGTTACCTTCACAGTTAAGGCTGGTGCTAACAATCATGATGTGCTGATGCAAAGGCCTAATATTCAGACCCGCTGATCTTCTCAGAGTCAAGAGGTTAGTACTCAAGTAAAGTAAACTTGGTACTTTCCTGAAACCTCTTTATCCTCACTGATTCCACAATAAAAAGCTTAAATACAAGCTGGCATACAGCAGAACACACTTTCAAGAGCAAAATATTCTTTTAAAAAGTCTTTAAACCTTCAAAAAGGGTCTAAAAAGTTCCATCGACAAACAGGGACATTGATAGATAAATTATGAAATTGCTGGCTGTGATGCTTACTGTCAGCAATGGCATTTGGCAGTGTTAAGTACTTCAGAGAGAGTTTTCTAGTGATGAAAAAGAATATTGTATTTCCAGTAGTACTGTTACAATTTGCTACTTATCATAATGCTGCACAGTGAGAACATTCAGACTGTAATCCAACAGAGTACATTAAACACTTAAGATGAATCAGAAAAGACCACATTATTGTATGTCTACTCAATGTTCGTTTTTCCTACAACTTAGTTGCTATGCATTCAGATGAGAATGTTGTTATAAATTCAATTTCTTAATTCAGAGAAGATGAACAAATAGCACTTTTAGAAAGATGGTGGTATTCATGTAACAAATGAACAACAGCAATTTGATTAAGAAGTTACATTAAGGGGATGAGGTTAATTTTGTTTGATTTCATTGCCTATTTTCCGTGCAATATAGTCATGACACAACCTGCAGATACCAAGGACTATTGCATATTTGTAAGGTCTCTGAAGATGAAAAGCATTATACAAATGCTAAGCATTCTAGTAAACACAACTCAAGACACATCTGAGCCTACTATGAAGCTATGGAAGATCTGTGAAATACAGTGGATTAAAAAATTAGCAATAGTTTTGGAAATGTGATTAATAATTAAAAACTAAACCAAACCAGAAACACCTTCAAATTTCTAATTTCATTTATGTCAGAAAACTCAGAAGAGACTATGAGAGAAGAATACTCTTTGTATTTCTAATAATCTATCATATTAAAATTGTTAACTCTTTCATGAATATTTAAAACCAATTAGTATCACATGTTACTATGGACTTATCAATAGAAGATGAAACAAAATTAATCCGTAAACTTTACGTTTTCCCCTGAAGTACAGCAGAAATTCTTTATGCATACGCCATACCTGTGTGCGTGTGTGTGCGACACGAAATAATTCTTGCTCTAGCCAGTCTAACACAGGCTTGAAGCTGAAATTTCTCCTTGAATAACACCTTCACTTTGCTGAAGCTTCCTAAGAAACTTTCTTAAGCAATCATGTCATTTAGAGGGGTCATTTTTCATTCTCTAGGAAGATTTGCAACACATGCACTTTCCTCTCACTGCAGTGATGTCTCTCCATAGCAGAGATACTTAAAAGATTTTCAGCCCTCTCTCTCTAACTGAATTCCAATTATTATTTTTTAAGTGCTGACATCTCTTTCAATATCTTCACATCCATATACAATTTTAGCTGAAGCTGGGCATCACACTGAATCCTGAGCTTACAGATACTAAGCCTAAGCTGCACATCCATCTGGACACAGAGATAGAGGCATATAAGCAGGACTTTCCTTTCCAACCCCCCATCCTCTCGGATGTGTCAGCCACCATGGATGCCTAAATAAGAATTCAAATAGATTTTCTAATTGTGTAATTCGTTTAACAGTTTCCACAGCAAGGAGTCTCCTCTATCAGTTGCACTTCTGTAACTGAACACTAAATTTAACCCTTAGGAAACTGATTAGCATAAAGACAGTGACAGGCTCATTTCATAAATGCTTTAAACGTGTGGAAAAACTTGTAAGTCAAATGCAAGAGCTCTGTGGCACAGTGGGAAGAGTTTATCTGCAATGATGCCAACTGTCTTTGTTTCTCTCCACTGTGAAACCGCTCACTCTCCCTTCCCTTGCTGCTTCGCCACTATGCCCCATGGTCTTCCACTGACATACAAAGAAGCATCAGGGAAACAAGCAAGATGAGCTGCTGGGTGAAATGGGGTTGTTGTGCAAAGCTCTCGGTGGAGCAGCAGCAAGCAGCTATGTCTAACTGGGGTAGAAAAACAAAGCATACCTAGGGGACATCTGTACTAAGGCACTGACAGAGCAGGGAGAAAGCGGGAAAGGATCTATTGGAGCTATTGGTCCCTTGAGCTGCTAGGTATGCTCTTCTGTCACATGTGGCATTTCTAAAGCAGATGAGGTAAACTGAAATCCACCCTCAAATGCTATGTGCGCTGCCACTGCCTGCCTGTCTCGCCCCACCCCTCACTTCCAGGAAAACCCATTTCAGTTTAAGAACTTAAATTTGCACGCTAGTGCGTTAATAAGGCCAGATGAGGGAGGAGATAGCAGGCAAATACACTTAACTAGCCATTTGAATCCATTTCCTACAGAATAGCTAAACTCAGTAAAATACAGCAGACACCTACATTAGAGGCCGAATTGTCTTCTACCTTTCCTGCATATCATTGGCTGTGCTTTGTAAAAGACACTACCTCTGCTAGTAATCTCCTCTTTCCATTTAATGCAATAATTTAAAAACTATGTATTTAAGTCTGAAAAAAACATGCCTTGGGAATAGTTCGGTGAATTGCTGAGAACGATTTCCTAACTTTTCAATACTAAATACTTACTACATTAGAATAAATTTGCCATGACATATTAAGAGTCCAGTTAAACACCACGACAACAGTAAGGTAGGTGTTCCAATACTATAAACAACCAAAATGAAGCACAGAAGTCAAGGGACTTCCCGTGCTACTCTAGTGAAACAATGGCTAAATTATAATTAGATTTTACACTGGACTACGTTGCCTTTCCAGCTACTTCAAAGAAGAACCGTATTAAAGGGTTGAAATGAAGATGGATTTCCTAAGTGAACTGATTAATTCAGATTAAATGCAAAAAGAAAAGTTCTGAGTAGAGTTACACTCTTTACATTGTCTTTTTAAATCACAGAGTAAGGTGAAGCAGTTCATCTTGAAGCTCCTCGGTTCCACTCCATGGAACTACTGCCACTGTAGAAAGAACTTTCCCATTAATAGTATGACATGATCTATCACATAGTTTTCATTTAATTGAAATTAAATTGAATATCTTGCTGTACATCATGCTGATTTAGCACAACATTTATAGTAAAGGTTGAAGCATACAGCTATTTTAGAAGATAGCTGTGGGAAACACAGATACAAAAGTACTTACTAAGTGACTTCTAAAAGCTCTTAAATAACAAACATCTTGCAGTTATTCAGGAAAATTAAAAAAACGCTCTACACAGAACTGAAGAAAAGTTCCGTAGTTTCAAAAGGTGGTCATATAATTGTCATAATTTACATTGCAAAAGCATTTAAAACTCCCTAAATAGCTCAGGATAACATTGTAAGATAAGTAGCTTCCTCATAGCGTCACATTAAAAATATGCACTGTAAAACAAGTTTTTTCAAACAATGGAAAAAAAAGGAGCAACAATGTCATATTAACAGAGGGGTGCTCCTGAAAGCGCGACTATTTACCAAAGGCATCTCACAGACTCTGAGCTGTGGCAGCCATGAAAGATTCCATCGTACTCCTCTGGTTTGCTTAACCTCTGCTGCACTTCAAGTTGGAAAAAGAAGTTCTTTCTTTCCTATACCCCTGAGTGGAGTTGCATCTTACCATGGAAGAGATTTATCATTACCATGAAAAAGGATATCATTTTTCCACTTGTTATTGTTGCAACTAAACACCAATGACTAATAATACTGAAAGATTAGAGAAATACATCCTTTATTTCCTTTATGCATTAGAAAAGAGTTTGTATACACAGTTCCACTCTTCTCTGGAAAGCACATTACAGAGCAAGCCTTCAAACTGTGAGTATAAAGAGAAGTTCATAGGAGTGGAGGTATAAATATGAATAGTGTGTAATGGTTCAGGTCATCACTTGGCTATTTTTCTTTGTGGTCTCTAAACACAGCAAAATAATGCAGCTGGGACAATCTTCTCCCTTCCCCAAACACTCATTCATCCCACTCAGTTCCATAAAGAACAGAAAATTTGTCTACAAATTGGCAGAACTACTTCGGGATATAGGTAATACTGACATTATTTTAATTCATTTAATGTCAGTAGCTTTCCTTTAAATGATATTTTCATTGCCTGGAAAAAATGAGTGAAACTTCCATGCCAGAGGAATTGATTCTACTGTACCTGCTCTGTTACAAATGGAAGACTGAATTTTATTTGGCTTTGGCTCTTTACTTTCATCAAAACATATTTTTACCATTTCTTAGAACGTCAGATAGATACATTAGTACAAAGGAGAAGCAAATACTACTCCTAGTGACATTCAAGCTACACTTTTCCAAGGAGCAATAAAAAAAACCCTGGAATTGAGAGGTATGTGGACCCTGCAGGACTTCTGACCTCTTGTAAGCTTCAAAGGCGGCAGAAAAATCCCTGCCTTTCTCAAAAAATAACATTAGAACTCACACAAGCACTCAGTTTGGCAGCTAGTGAAATTGAAGGCAATCAGATTTTTTTTGCCAGAACATCTACACGACCGTACAGGGGGCAGATAGCCACTTTTAACCTCATTGCAGAATTTTCATGACTATTGTCCTTTGATCATTTCCTATCACCATATTGCCATTGCCAGTTGTTGTCCTGAATGACAAAAACCTCACTGGACTTAATGGATGAAAATTACTTGCTTTGTTAAGCTGCAGTTCTCTCTGAGCACAGTTTTCTACCTCACCTGAAGAAGGTAAGGAAGGAAGTTGATCATAGTCTTGAGATGTCCGATTTGCTTTGATGTTTTCTCCAGTTACTCTGCGAGCAGGTGGCAAAGGGACAGGACCAGTTATCGGATCAAAATGGGGATCTATAAAAAACAAAACAAAAAAGGTTTCTTAGAACGTTTATAATTATTTGGGGTAGGGCTGACGCATAGAACCTAGACTTAAGATAGCCTCCCTCCCAAAAGAAGGGCCATGAATGCAAATAGAAACATTTCCTCCATAGAACGTGTGCACTCATGCATACATCCAAACTCAACACTTGCACCGTAGACACGTAACTATGCCTTGAAGTGACTGAAAAAGGAGCATAGCTCAAAGCTAGCCTACCCTGTACTGACTGTTGCTCCTCGGTTGACCTCTTTGAGGTACTTTTTAATTAGCCAGCCCTGGTACCGCTAGGAGAGTAGCTGAGGAAGCATGGAACAGATTGCAAAGCCTGCAGCAGCACAATTAGAAGTACTGCTGCTAGTCAGTTTGGTCCCACTTCATTCATGTGCAGGCCACAAAGACAGCAGGGTGGACTCCCTACCTGTGCAGTCCCAGCTACTAAGCAAATGTTGAAGGGTCTGGTAAAGGCTGTTTAACAGACTTTTCAGCTCCCTTTGCTGATTACAGGAAGAGTTTAAAAAAAAGCGGGGGGGGGGGGCCAGAAATAGAAAGTCCTGGCATATTCTGTCCTCCTTCACAATTTTTTTAGGCTATTGTGGATGTAGCTCAGCAAGCGTTTAACATCACTGTGGACCCGGCCTCTGTTCTGGACTCATAGCAGTCTAGGGGAACATGCATATGCCTGCGTTTGTGTGTCTGCATTTTTTTTGCTGTTGATGATGTGATCATTACTCTAATCTCTCAGACTCTGATGGACAGCTGAGAAATCACCTCAGACTTGTACAGAAACCAATTACAATAAACTCATCATAAATCATCTGCTATATAAATGCAGTGGTTTATTTGACAAGATGCAAAGTGAGTAATACAGCTTTAGAAATACCCTTTGAACAAAAAAAAAAAAAACAAAAAGAAAGAAAAAAGAAAGAAAAAAAACAAGCCTGTGTCACTGAGCAGATGTGTACACTTACAAGACTAATGAAGAATGATGTTATAAGATTGAATTTATTGTGTATGTTGCCGTAAATACACTTTCCATATTTTTAATTAAAAGCTATGAAATGTTTTGTTAACACTATCTTTGATGTTTCTCAGATTATTTGGAAATAATGCCTAATAACTTAAAACTCCACATGTTTCTTGGAATTGCATGCAGATGTATGGAGATTGTGGGGGAGGCGTTCGTTGTCTCTCTCTACTCCCATTAGGGCTGAACAGTGCAGTGTGTGCTTCTGCATCAGATGATGTAATTGTGGCACCCGTTTAGACTGGACTTCTGAATATTGCATTATTTTTATTTTGAAGTGTAGAAGATAAACTAATTCCTGGCCCTACATTTATGAAGATCAACCTTTACATCCTGTAACAGGCCAAATCATTACTAGGACTCATGCAGAGGGATTATCTCACAAGATATGTACTAAGCTGCGCTCTGTGTTATAAAACATACAGAGTTTTGGCAAATTACTCTATGTTCAGGTCTTAACTGATAGCAATAAATACATAATAAAATATTCCAAAAAAGGTCACTCAGGTTCAACCTAATTATTTATACGTACTTGTATTGGGGCAAATTTATTCAAAGCTTTGAAGTCCGTGTTGATTTTTAAATGACATTTCATTATGTGAACACAAGCTATAAAAAATTTCCTTTTTTTGGTGATCTGTTATAGTGAAGCAAACCTGTCATATTTCACTGTCATTGATGCAATTCCTTGCAGTAGCCTGATTCAAAATGGAAAATATATACAAGATTTCTAAACTTTGTAGATAATTCTAATGTCCATGTCCCTGACCGTGTGTCCGTCACTGTAACAGTAAAAACAAAACAAATGTGCATGCACCTAGTAGAGATCATGAAGATCAAAAAAAATGCAGCTGAATTTGCATAGCACTTGATCATTTTGATACTTAATACAGTACAGTAGACTGAGAAACCAGCACTTCTTGACACTGACAAGGTCTCTTGAGTGCCCAAACTTAAGGTTGTGATTTTGGTCTCTACATTTGAGAATGCTGTTACTTCAGACTATTTTACTTCCCAGCCAAGAAAAGAATGGCAACACTTTATCACAGTCTTATAACAAAGTGGTTCACATGATAGCACTGCTCCAAAAACGTAGCCTGCAAAGGAAATGAGTAGGTACAGATACAGGAACCAGGTGTTTATTATGTGGACACTGGAAAGTAATTCACATTTCATCACAACACAATCATCTATTTTCTGGTATATGGATTCTTTTTTATGTATTTTATTATCTTAACTTTTGAATGTAATTGTTTTCAAATGTAATTTCTTTTAAGAGCTGCAGTTAAATGAGACGTACATTTATTAAATGTACCAACAGACAGGAAGAATACTTTCGTATTTATGTGACTTGTTTCTATAGAACAATACTGTAGCTGTCACAGGAACAGGAACGAATGTTGATTTGGGGTAAAACTTACACCTCTCTGAGGACTTTTATGGATTACAAAGTCAGATTACTCAATATTAATGTGGGTACAGAACACTTGAAAGTTTAATTTTTAGATGAATTTTGCATAGGGTTTATATTTTGAGATTTTGGGTAAGAAGATCAGAGCTGCTGAATATTGGACTGAAAAAGCATGACAGTGATTTGATGGAAAGAGATGGGTGAAAAACTGAATTTTATTATCAAAGAAATCTTATGAGCCAGAGAACCCTGCAATTGTGGCATTCACAATTAATATAGCTCTGCAGCAAAATTTTACACCAGCTCCAACAAAATAGGATATTACTTCCCTTATTTTCCTCATCTTTTCCACTTAAAAATAAGACAAAAAGCATGCATTATATTGAACTATAAAAGACAATGGATTTGACAAAATGATACACACTAGTATCACAGAGCACAATAGAAAACTTGGCACTTCTAAAGTAACAATCCTTACTAGAAAAGCACTATTTACCAAAAAGTGAGGTGTAGTCTAAAAACATTGACTTTTTCTCATAACTTCATGGTAACGAAAACCTGAGTCTTTTCATATTTTGAGTTGTTTCATCTTCATTTTAAAAACCTATTTTTCTGGCTTTTATATATTGAGCTACAGGCAAAACAGACTTCTGAAGCTTGACGACAACTTTATCACAGAATAGATAAGCTTCTAGAGTAAATGGAAATGAAATAAAATATGTTGTTCCTTTTGCATTCCTACCAGGAGGATGAAGGAACAGCTCATGTCCTGAAGGAGGTCGACTTCCTGAACCAGCAGGTTTTGTGTGCTCAACGATGCTCTGACGAGCAGGTGGTGGTGGTGGAGGAGGAAGCAAAGGTGGTGAGCTATCAAATGTATCTTCACCTGCATTTAGGAAAGACTTACTGGATAAGCAAGACTTCAATAGGAATAGTACAATAAAGAGGGCAGCCTAAAATTCATTTTTCTCTGGCTGCTAACAGAAGCTCTCACTCCTAGGGTTCACCTAGCAGTTCAGTGACTCCAGTAACAAAAGCATAAACCTGACTCTTCCTATGCACAACCCACTTCTAAAGCATGCTCTGAATCACCTTTGGCAGCACACAGCTTCTTTTCTGGGACAGGGACAGAGATTTTGTTTAGTGGCTCAATTGCAAAGAATGTACTTAACGAAGACCTCATTGAATATCACTGCAGAACAACAGCTGTGCTTCAGTGGCTAAGAAAATACATGTGTTTATAAACACCAGTGCTGACTATATCACATCTGCTACGTATTACACTGTGTATCAGATCTGCCGATTTAAAGCTCTGACCCGAGATCAACAGAGTGATTTTCTCAGACCCTAGCAAAAGAGTTTACTCCTATACAAAGATGGTGCAGGTAGGACTAGGTTTACCAAGCAATGTGATTTTTATCTGCTGTTCTCCTTTCAATTCTACGCACTCTTGCAAATCCAAACACTTCAGGGACCTCAGAAAAGTATAGTGCAGGAACATGGCAAATGTTCAAAGGTTTTATGGAACCAGGAAATTGGATGGTGACACAGACAGCATAGTCTAGCAATCATACAGCTGAGTTTGTCAATCAAGGTATAGGAGATGGCCTCAAAAAGCTCACTGACTTTTGGATACAAGAGCACAAATGAGGGTTGGAAAAGACTGCTTTTGGTGACCACAGGCAGCAGTGAGTTTTGGACTATTTCTTGATAATGGGGGTAAAAAATAAAAAAAAACTTTTAAAGTTTAATTTTCTTTAACTCAGATGCTACCTCTTAGGCCTTCTTCTTTGTATGTGATAAAACAGATGTAAAACGTTCAAAAACCCTCCACACGCTCATTAGACTGAAATAGCCAAACTTCACATTAAGTGACAAAAATTCATGATCTATTCTATGGAAAACATTTTTGCCTTTCTTTTTCGTCTGAATACAGATTTATTTTGCCTTTTTGTCTGTGTCTTGCGTAAGGGCTTACAGACAGATGCCAAGCACAGATTTTGATGAAAATATTGAAGCATAGCTGTGCGATTTAGCCTATAGCTTGTTCAGTATTCTTAACATACACATTGGTTTTTTCAATAAAGCATGGCATTTGGTCAATCTAGGCTATGTTAACCATTAAATGTAATCAGCAAAAGGTCTGCAACCTAAAGGGGGCACCAGAAGATCATAATCGGAGGGTGTCCTGTTGAGCAAAGAGCTGTGTTTTGGGTTGTCTCTGGTAGGAGGTCGTGCAGGTGGCAAAGGTACCGGAACAGTAGGTGCGTCATAGACATCTCCTGAATGACACAATCACAAGAAGTGAATGCTTTCTTGCTGTACCCCTGGAATGGCACAGAGTAAATTTTCTTATTAAGGATTGAAAAATTAAAAAAAAAAAGAAAAATATACCTAACTCTGGATGTTTTGATTTCTTCATCTCAGAAGTAGCACTGTGTGTTCCATTCGTTATTCCAGCGCACTGACCGTTCTCACACACCCTGCAGACATGAAAAAAGAAGCAATCTACCAGTTATCTGAGTATTAATTCCCAGCATGACAAAGTATCTGAGTGGGCACAATCCATTACATTGAAACAAATGAAAGAATATAAACTGCGCTGATTTTAAACTTTGATTTTTCACATTGGGAGTGGGTACTGGGCAACTTCCAACAAAACTCCTTTGAGGAATTATACTGCTTTCTTGGTGAAATACTGACATTGCTTAAAAAACTTACTCAAGGCTGAAATACTAGGTAGAGGAAGAGCTAACATTACAAAGAGTCCTCACCTCAGAGCTCTGTTTATTCACACACTTAAGTCACTGGCTTGATCCTATTTCACCTTCCGAGCTATTAAAATTCCCCCTTTATGTATTAAAAACATAAAGAAGGGAAATGTGGGTTTTGGTAATTACCCACACTGAAGTACCCAGAAAGAAAAGGCTTTAAAAAACCAAAACAAAACGAAACACCAGAACACACTGCTGGCAATAACATATTTCAACAAAATTATTAGCCAAACATTTAAAATGAAAAATGAATGATCTCTGCCAAAGCAATTTTGCACACATCTATTAATTTCTTTATAAAAAAGCTGTCTCACTGATTCTTCTACTACAATCTGTTAATATTTTAAAATTAGAAGTACATTACTCCCCCAAAATTAAATAACAGTATCGAATTAAATATTAAAACCACCTACAACAAACTTCAGGTGACAGATTCAGGCAACAAAGTAGAAAGATACCAATAACACTGTCAGAAATATATTATCTACTGGAGATTATTCTTGTATGATGACTCAATTTAAAGACTGAGGGACAGTAACAGAGAATGAAAGCCTTTTAATAATATTAAATATTATTTGAATAAATGTCAGAGAACTGGGAAATGACTCCTGTAATTGAAGCTGTGGACCCTGCATGTTCAGAAAGAACCAGAGAGTTTCTTTGGAAAGAGGGCACCATGCTGGGCAATAGGTGGTGGGGGGCG